TGTTTATAGTAATTGTGCAGTTATTATTATTACTGTTTTACTATTGTGTTATTATAACTTATCATTATTACGATATTATTATTATTATTATTATTATTATTATTATTATTATTATTATTATATTATTATTATTATTATTATTATTATTTTGTTATTATTGTGGTATTGTAAGATTTGTGTTATCACTGTGTTATTACTACTGCATTCTTCTTCTTCTTCTTCTTCTTCTTAGTAGTAGTAGTAGTAGTAGTAGTAGTAGTAGTAGTAGTAGTAGTAGTAGTAGTAGTGGTGGTGGTGGTGGTGGTGGTGGTGATAGTAGTAGTAGTAGTGATAGTAGTGGTAGTGTGTCTCCCCGGTGTGGCTCCTCGATGTGGCTCTCCTCCTTGGTGTGGATCCTCTTCTTGGTGTAACTTTCCTCCCTGGTGTGGCTCTCCTCCCTAGTGTGGCTTTCCTTCCTGATGTGCCTCCCCAGTGTGGCTCTCCTCCCTGTTGTGTCTCCCCTGTGTGGCTCTTCTCCCTGATGTGTCTCCCTGGTGTGGCTCTCCTCAGGGTGGCTCCCCTCCTCAGTGTGGCTCTGTTCAGTGTGGCTCTGCTCCCTGGTGTCGCACCTCCATGATTACAGACCTGCCGAGGTGCCGTCAGTCAGCTTACAAGAAGCACTGATGGCCAGGCTACGCTCGCAGATAGCCAGTCAGGATCAACGCAGTGCATTACTGGCTGCAGATGATGTCGTCAGGCAGCCAGGCAGCAGACGAGGTCGTCAGGCAGGCAGACAGAAGACGAAGTCTCAGGCAGGCAAGCAGCAGACGAGGTCGTCAGCCAGCAGGCAAGGTCGTCAGGTAACCAGGCAGCAGATGAGGTCGTCAGGCGGCCAGACAGCAGACAAGTTCGTCAGGCGGCCAGACAGCAGACGAGGTCGTCAAGTAGCCAGGAAGCAGATGAGGTCGTCAGGCAACAGACGAGGTCGTCAGGCAGCTAGGCAGCAGAGTAGATCGTCAGCCAGCCAAGCAGTAGGTGAGGTCATCAGGCAGCCAAGAGTGGAGGTGCCTAGAGCCTTGAGAGCGAGTGGAAGAGTAGAAGACGCAGTTGTCGCAACTCTTAGTTATCTTACGCTGAGCCGGAGACCATGAGGCTCCATCACACACTCCATCCTGAGTAGCAGTTACTGGGAGGTGAGATGTGTAGCGGCTTTTTGAGACAAAGACAGCTATTTCTGGCTGTCGAAATATTTGGATGCTCCCTCACATATTGTGAGGGAGGCAATATAAAATGGGTACTGCTAATTGTGTGTGGTTTTACTATTATATTTCTCGTGGAATGACGAACAAACACGAACATCATAATGAAAATGAAAATTAAATTTAACAAAAAAAAAAATGTTTATTTAAAAACTAATGCAAGGTAAAATACTAGAACAGTAAAGTGAAGTGTCCTACTCTGTATCAGTAACAAACTCAGGTATATAAAGACTGTATGCATATATTCCTACATGACAAATCCTATGAATGAAAAAGGTTATCCCAGGGGAAAACTCCAGGCGGGAAGCTTTGTATAAAATATCCTGGGAGATATACATTTATAAGCGCACTCAGGGAACTCAGCGTGTATACTGAGTGCTGAGGGAGGCTTACTGACACGTCAAATGAGGTTTTCTGAAGAAACCTGTACGAACATTTAAAATTTATTCCCATGATAGCCACCCCCCCCCCCTTAAAAAACGCGGGTATGAATATACTGTTCAGTGTAATATGTAATAGTTAATTACGTTTATCATTGTAACGAAACATTAACGGAAACACAGTGACAATACCCAATTTGAGAACAAGCAAAGTACATATGATTTGTCTTTGTCAACAAATGCACCACACGCTAAACACTCGCCAGATAGGCACATGCAATACTTCCATTATTTACGTAGAATATAACTACAAGATACAGTGAAATATATGAGTGTTATAACGAAGACTTCCTTTGGATTATTAACCCTGGATGGCTGACAACCCACGATAATCCAAGAAAGTCAAGCAATGTGGGTTATAACCTTCACAATCCCTAGGTCCTCTGCCCAGAGCATCAATGTGACCCAAAACAGCCAACTAAATCTTGGGCATCTGTTCGCTGCTAGTTGAACAGGAGAAATAGACTTGATCAGGGTTCGAATCCATGAGATCTCTATTGTGAGATCTTGAATATATGCATGGAGAAAACAGAGTTTACCAGACCACCCAACACATGTCCCGGAGACAGTCATGAAGTGCCTGATGGCCTCCTCTCACTGTATTGCATAAAATGTTTTACACAGAGACTACAGCAATACCGTGACCATAGTCAAAACAGCTGAATTAGATCAACATCTACGCCACAGGTAAAGACGTCGTAGCTATCAACCTCAGATTCTTAAGGACATCTCCTTCGAGATCCTCAGACGAGTCGCCTTAGGATTAAGACCTGTGTCAAGACGCAATTTTTGACGAACCAATCCATCACTCACCTTGTACGGCATGTCAAAGCCCCTGGAGAGCGAAACGTTGCTACAATAAAATGTCACATTAGTTACATTTGTGTCCATTTGGTCAGAAATGATTACTGTGTTTGACTTTATTAGGAAATCATATGTTAAGTCAATATAATGAAATTTTATGTGCACATATCATCTCTGTACTCTCAAAACCATTATTGAAAAAAATCTTATATACCCAAAATTTAAATAAAACGTAAAACGGGTTATTCAATACAGGGATACCTTGCTAGGAACGCAAAACACATTTAGTATGTCCCGTTCCTTGCCGTAGTGGTGTAAGGAACAGATGTCCTTGTACCGACACACTGGCAGCTTTACATGGTGTCCTGACGTCTGCTGCTGGCAGGTAATTGTCTCGTGTTGTCTGGCCACTGATTAACTCACTGCTGTGGTTGATGATGATGACATATACGTCAAGAACAATGTCCTACGTCTTAATCTGATGATGATCAACCACTGGCTCCCAAAGGAGGATTGGTGATGTACAAGTTTGGCTGTTTCTGTCGCAGTAACACACTCAAAATCGTAGCAACACGCTTATGGCCGTAGTAACATGCTCCTGACTGCAGCAATGCTCTCACGGGCGTAGCAAACATATAGTGGTGTTGATCTTAATGACAAAAAGCTCTGCTTTCTCAGGGACAACCCAACATCCTTTCCCACCCTCAAGGGCTCGTAGGAAGAAGCTGAAATGTTGTTTTGGTGCAGAACTGGTAACTGCAAATCTTATGCTTATGTTTTTCAGTAGTTATCTAGTCAGTGATGTGTCGGTTGTGTCTAAATACGTCGTTAGCAATGGTTTGTGTTTCCTAACTCAAACACATCGACTCCTCTTGGCTCTTCCCTCGACAATGGACCTCAGCCCACTGTCAGTTAGTAGTAGTAAGTACTATTATCATCGTAGAGTTTCATACTTTTAATACATACTCTTGTTACGACTCCCGAGAGATAAACAACACCTCTGGCACACTCTTGACCGTCAATATGTCGTACTCTCAGCCTGTGACGTCACATGCAAAAACTCAATTGGTTAATAAAATCAAAGAATAACTGGGACATGAACTTTAAGTCAAGTGAGTCCTACAAGCGGACCATGCTGGCCTAACAAGACTCATCCAGCGAGGTATACTTTTATACACCATAGAAAGGTTGGAATGGTTCCACCTTGACTTCAAATTCAGGCTTTGACAAATGAATCTCGGACCATCATGACGCTCGAAATGGTAAACATATCACAGAACGGGTGGGGTTCGAGCCTCACTCGTCCTGTGATTCTTTTGCAGTCGTAGTATTTCGATTTCGTGAGAGACTATTGGCTGACTGTACCTCGATGAGGCAGCCATCACCATAGTATTCAAGTCTTTATTTTTATCAATATTAAAGCTAAGTTGATCTATCCCCAGTTACCTTCATTTTATTTTAGAATTTGATGTATATTGAATTTAACTGAATTTATTAATTGTGTTGAGTAAACAAAGATGGCTAATATGTTGTTTATTAATGAATTATTACTATAGGTATCTTGATAATAATAAATTAGACACTTGTGCAACACTTAAGTAGCTATATTGTGGAAACACTTTCGCAATGAAGATGCCCGAGTGTTGAGCAAGTGTCAGAGTCATCATCCTATCGGTTCTCTGAACCATTTATCTGCATCGTGCTAATAGGTCAAGTGGTGGTTAGGTTAGGTTATTAAGGTTAGATTAGGTTGGGTTAGGTTAGGATAGGTAAGGTTAGATTAGGTTAAGTTAGGTTGGTTTAGGTTAGGTTAGGTTAGGTTAGGTAAGGTTAGGTTAGGTAAGGTTAGGTTAGGTAAGGTTAGACTAGGTTAGGTGTGTTTCTTGACGCGGGTCTTAATCAGATGATTACCCGTCGTTGGAGCTTTTGGTTATCTGACCGAAGCCTTCAGCTGGCTTACCGGTCCACCCCTTAAAAAATTATGGTCATAGTTATAATCACGTAGTTAAGTGGTGGGAGTTCAGAAGTTAATTAGCACTATTCACTTACTATTACTAAATAATACCTACTGATGTAGTTATTTTCCAGTATTATTAATTAGTGTAAATGCGTTCTCAGGAAACCACTATTTTTATCTGAGGAAATATGATTATTAGTTTTGCAATAATTGGAGCACTAAACCCGTAGGGATCAAACAGTGCCTCTGGAAATGGACGGCATTCAGGCTTGATTCAAGGAATTGAAACATGGGTCCAATTCCTTGGAACAAGAGCACCTCATCAACATCAAGGAATCTTCTCTGAGGGAATCTGAGGAAACAAAATTATCATTATTATGATAGTGAGTCTCATGGGAAAGTTTTAAATTTGTAATGGTCATTGAGAATCATTGATTCTTTAATAAAGTCTCATATAACTCTTTCTCTTTATCGAATTCAAAGTTCATTAAAAGTTTAACAGATTATTAGAAGCTCATGTTTTACGACTATTATCACTAAATCACGGTTTTAATCCTGCAGGAACTCGACGACGGCGCTGACGAAGGGAACGGTAGGTGGTGGGGCGGCTTCCAGCACCAGCGGAGCGACGGCTGGTGCGGGCGCCAGCGCAGCGGCAGGTGGGGCAGGCGCGGGGTCAGCCAGTGCAGCCAGCAAGGACGACACTACAGAAGCCAAGGACTCATCTGGACGACCCCTGGTGCCTGTCAACAAAAATCTGGGCAATGTTAAGGCGGAACATGGTGCCCATCCCTCGGTGAGTACTGACGAAGGAGTTTCTTCTGCCAAGGGACGCCTCTTTCTCAGCCTAGCTCCAGGGAGTGTAGGTGACTGGGTCAGTTCTACGAAGCGAGAATAGATGGCTCAAGAGAAGAGAATATCAAGTGGTCCATTTTCGTGAAAGATGAACTCTTAATCAAAATAATGCATGTCTCTGAAGCAAACCATCCTTGGCCCACTTGAGGGATTAAGTGAGACCTTTCCTTAGAAAGTGAAAAAAATCCTATACGAGGAACTACATTAATGCTAAGAATTTTTTGTGACAGCGTGGGAGATCATCTGACGGTAAGACTACATGAATACATGCATTATTTTTGTACCAGCACACAGTTCATGTGTATCCCTCTTCAGCGATCCAGGAAATAATTACAAGTCTGAAGACTGAGGTAAATTAATGGTAACTAAAGGTAAAGTGTAATATAAAGTCTATATCCCTCTAAAATATGAGTGTTGTCTGTATAATGTGTTAAAACTCGTAAATGTAGCAGAAAAAATATAATTTTTTTTACTAGTGAAGGATTATGTTGTGTGAATATTTAATTGTATAATGAGAGACGTTGTGAGTGTTTTGTGGTTTGTCTAGACTCTAGAGGAAGGCATTTGTATAAGTCTGCTATAATTATGCGCTTTACGTTTTCCAAAAACTTTTATTTTAAGACCAGAAATCACGGCGTTTTCACAATAAAACATCATACATACATGCTACTGAAGACAATAATTTTATGATTCTGACGCCATGAAGAAACGATCAGTAATGAGAAGGAAATTGTTGATATCTACAACGGCCTTGTTGAGGAACTTGACGTGCGTTTGGCAGGACAAGCTTTCCTTGTGACATTTGACTGTACATGAAACTTTATCAAATTTTAATCATTTGGACTTGATAAAGCTCCATACAAATCGTAAACATTGTCACAGTAAAAGTTTGCTTTGCACACAAGAATGTGTTTCTCATTCCACCCTGTGTCTGCTTTCTTGTCATCTCTAAGACCTGAGTGACAACACTTCATGACGTCTTTATTAACGTTGAGATGACCCTAACACTTTACAGTGTACATTACCAGCCAATATCATTACCTTTCTAATTTATCCTCTTTCTTTCTTAATTAATTTCTTCAATAATGACTTGTATCGTGCATTGAAAATTTTCTCATCAAACAGTATTTGAGTAATGTTGAGTACACAAAATATTTTATCTTACCAGGTGCTTTATAGTGGAGTTAAAAGATCTGTAAATACAGAGAAAATGTCGTGCAGTAAGCCAACTATAAAAATTAAAATTATTTTTTTATAATAATTCACATTAAGCGCTAAATTCATTTAGGCCATTCAGAGCAAGACGTGGTAGAGGTTTGATCCTCGGTCTGTTGAGTGCGAGACAGACGCGCTTCCTCTTTGTACTCTCCTATTTCTCAAAAACTAGGAGAATACAAAGAGAAAGTGCGTCTGTCTCGCACTCAACAGACGGAGTATCAAGCCTCCACCACGTTTTGCGCTGAATGACGGAAATGGGTCATTCAGCGCAAAACGTGGGTGGAGGTCATTCAGGTCCCTCACTACTCACAAATGTCTGCGTCTTTTTATAAGACTGAGCCATAAACAGACTGTCATACCTCCTCACAGAGAAGAATATTGATTAATAAAAAGTAATTGATAATGGACATCAGTTATTCTGATACCAAGCAATGACATTTTGTAATTAAAAAATATTCATTTTAACTAATTTAAACCAACCGAGGCTAAATCTAGTATTTCGGAATTCATTATTAGGGCCACTACCTATCCTCAGTCTGGATCCCTACCTATCTTCAGTCAGGCCACCTACCTATCCTGAGTCAGAATTCCTACCAAGCCTCAATCAGAACGCCTTCCTATCCTCAGAGTTCCTACCCAGTCAGAGTTCCTACTTATCCTCAGTCAGAGTTCCTACTTATCCTCAGTCAGAGTTCCTACCTATTCTCAGTCAGTCAGAGTTCCTGCCTATCATCAACCAGGGTTAACACCTAACCTCAGAGAGCATTTTAACTAAGGCTGTGTCAGCATGTCAACCATTCTCTGTCAAAATTATACTAGAGAAAATGGGTTCGTAATATTCCCATTTTCTCTTACAGCGATTGAGAAATTTTCTTCGGTTTCTGTATGGGGTGACTTGTCTGGTTTGTATTTGTCTTTCACCTTAAATGTGTATATAAGTGAAGATAGTAATCGTTTTCATGAAAAGTTTTTAGATTAGATAACAAAGTTGTTTTTATGAGAGTCAGGGATGTAGATTCTCAAACACACACACATACACACACAACAGGCCTAGTGTCTAATCGACATGTGCCTAGGACAAAATGGTAACTAACACACACACACACACACACACACACTGAATATGGGAATGAGTAGGTCCTAAGAGCAGCAGCCCAACGCAGCAGAGAGAAAACCCTGTCTCTAAAAAAAATCTACATCGACAATCACCGAGTTGTGTTTTAGGAGTAAGGAAGTAGTCACTTCGGACGAACTGAGGTCTCTGAGCACAACTGAGGTCTCTCAACACAACTGAGGTCACACACAACCTAGGTCTCACACATAGCAACATCGCTTATGAAGGACGTTTTTATTATGATGTGGTTACTGCAGTAACAGATTAGTTGAGATGATAAGCTTACACTCACAAACTCCCTTTTCAATATTCTTTCTGTATAAAAATGAACGATGGACCAACAGGATCAAAGTCATTCAAACAAAATAACAGAGACTTGACGTGTGGTGAGTCTCTGCATCAAGTCTTCCCAGTTACTGCTTCTTAGCAAGCTCGACTCTCAGGTTGTTTTCTAGTGCTGGTGATGGCTGGTTACCTGCAAATATTAGTGTACCGAGAACTCTATAACAGACTATTGATAACAATATGATCACCAGAGTATATGAAATATGTCGAGTTTTATATTAGGTGAAGAATAAAAAGGCACCACAACTACTTCCTCTACCAGCACTTCCACTACCACTACTACTCCCTCTACCAGCATTTCCACTACCACTACTACTTTCTCCTCCTCTCTCCAGTCCCTGTCGTCCTCGCTTAAATATACTGGCCCACTCACTCTCTTCTGTCTAACTTGTGAATGGTCCAAGACGGACCGAAACGTTGTCACAAACTTTTCTCTCTCTTATGTGTGGGTTATTTGTGTTTTATATTAGGTGAGACGCAGTTTAGCGTAGAGTGTACATAGCGATTTGAGCTTCATTATCAATTTAGGAAGGCTTAAAGAATATTTAATTAAACAGCTAGAATTATGGCAGACAATTATGCCAGATCGTTGCCTTTGGGAGTAATATTAATTAAAAGAAATAATACATTGTTTAGGTCGTGGGTCAGCTGGCTGAAGTGTGGGTGGACAGCGGCTATTACTGTTTCAACTGACAGAAAGTTTGGAGGTTAACTGAAGGAATTAAACATATATGACAAGTGTATCAACGCCTTAAAAAAATATTCAGATGCGTGAATAACAAGAGGAGCAGAGGCAGCCGGTGGAAGCCCTTTGTCCTCTATACAACTGAGATTCCTGTCTATGGGGTATTGACCTGGTCTGTGAAGGGCTTCTGGTCAGTGAAAATACTAGATGGAATAACCATTCTTTACTCATTTTTGGAATTCACCTAGACCGTAATTAGTTGTGTTATAAGAGGGGTCTTCATCAAAACCTCAGTAAGGAAAATTTTAAGCATTCATAAAACAAATTTCCCACATCCTCCCACTCGGTAAAAAATAATAATTTCAAGTCTAGATGAAGATTGCTTCCTTCCAGCTCTCCCACTGAGCCTAGCTGGCAATGTAACCGAGGAGATCACGGGCTAACGTCTGCTGTTAAGAACCCGCTGGCTGCGAACTTCCAGAGACAGAATCTTACTAAAGGTTCTAATAGTCTCGATAACGTTATCCTAAACCTGGATATCTTCAAACGTCCTGCTTTATCTGGATGAATCGTAACTACTAGATGAAATAGCCAGTCCGCTTTATACACATCGCTTTACAGTTTTGTGAAATCTCATCAGTTTAGTGTCACCTGAGTTAAACGTCAGCTTATTACCTTGTGGATCAGCACTGTAATTAAGTAATCAACATGCCATGCTTGACAACATTTCTTTAGCAGCTTCATTATTTTTTCACTGTTCTAGTGCAGTTCCTCATTGGAGGGGGAGCCGTCGAGGCTGTGATGGTCAGATAATTTGCTCAATACTCTAGAAAACAATTCGATTCTTATTCCAAATAGCTTATTGTTAGAAGTAAAAACTTCAAACTCATGTAAATCATTCTGTGAAACTCAGTGGTCTGTTGTTTACTCTTCCCATAATGTTGGATAAAACAGTTCATATTTCGTCGGTACTCTCCTCCTATGCAGTACCTTCCAGAAATCTCGTTCGACTGTCTCAACCATTCGCATATCGAAACTGCCTTGCAAAGGTGCTCACAGTGCTATGAACTTCCAGTCGTAATCGGCCTTCCCAAGGTAATCATGCATCTCCTCTGATTCTTGAAGATTTTTTTTTTTATTGAGAGCATATCTTGAAGATTTCATCTGCTACCCTGAAGCTAGTGCCATTGTCTAGTGTAACTACTATTAGCAAAGATTCAATAAGCATTGTTGGGTAGCACTTTGAAATGCCTGCTCTGGTATGGAACCGAGAATATCTCATAATTTAAAGAGATCTTTAATATATATATTATAATGACATATTATTGGAGACGACTCGCTAGTGGTGTTGTGTCAACCGGTCATCTCCGTCACATAAGCTGCAGTTGCTATTTATGATAATGAATTAAACCTTACACCATGCATATGTGGAAAATGCTACAATGTATGTAATACAGCGTGTATGATTTAATTAAGTTTAATGAGCAAACAAGCAATTCTACACTCCGAATTTACCCTTGCAATGAGCACACGAGCTTACAATAATAAATTATATTTGCTATAAAATGGTGTATGTAAG